TCCGAAACCGAAATCAAAATCGGAAAAAATAAATACCGATATCCGAAACCGAAATCGAAATTGGGAAATATAATTTCGGTTTCAAGCCCTGCAGGTCATTATAATAATATAATAGTAATGTAGTACTTGAAACCGATATTGGATACCGATTATGAATACCGGTTTAAACCGTTAAAAACCGAAACCGAAAACAAAATCGAAAAATATCATTAACGGTAACCGAAAGCGAAATCAAATTCGGAAAAAATATTTACGGTTTCAAGTCCTGATAAAAGGTAAAAATATTTTTACATTATCAAAACACCTTTGTACTAACATCTCGTATAATTATCGTTCAATTTCCACACATGCTATCGTATAACTGTGTAAAAATAGATCGATGATTATTTTGTACCTACTCATTGTATAATTTTTTTTCCGGGTCCACAAGAAGTCTGGTTTTTATTTTGTTTCTGTTTTTAAAAACGATTTAAGCCATCCCCCGTCCGTGTTGGGAAAAGATGAATTTATGTTTTGTTTTCTCGTCCAGTGTGGATTCGGTATTATACATTTAATAACTTAATTAATGACCTTATTACCTACTTAGTACCATTGATTATAACTAGTAAACACTATAGTATACTTATAGTATTTATAATCAATGGTAGTACGTAGGAAGTAGGTACCATAATACCATGTTGAAAAACGTTTATGTACCAACTTTATGTTGATGTTTTTCAGAATACACAAAACTAATATATTATAAGTATATTCCGAAATAAATAATTTGACTATTTTTGGACATTAAATTACTTTATTATTCATTGACTTACACTTGATTGGTATTTTTTAAATTTGCTGATATGATACTTAAACATAGATTCACAATAATATTCGAATTTGGTCAAATAACCGGCAAAGTGCAAGTATAATAATATTATGACCATTTAAAGTAGGACGAAATAAAACAGTAAACGATTAATTTAAATAGACAACGGTTACAAATAACATGCACGTTTACCTGTTAGGATAATGTACGACATATTATAATCAATAATGTAATCTATAATAAAAACACCTAATTTATATGTATTAATTTGAATAAAAAGGGTTAGCCTGGTAGAGAAAAAGTGAGAAATTGTATTAAAAATTGGTGTACCTACCTAATATATGCAACTTAATTTAAGTATATATCAATAATAATTTTTATTTTTTAATAATACACGCTGCACTTTTTACTGGTTTTATTATACACATACAAGTTTTTTGATAGGTGAGCCCATTAGGTCAAACCTAGTCAAAAGTCTAGTTTTTACCATATTATATAATTTTGTGCCTATGTACAGATTTATTCACAAGACATGCTCACCCCTTCCTCTTATATTATCTTTTAATAATGAATTTATTCACATTTTGAAAATTTGAAGTACCTAAACTTTAAAAGATCATAATAATATTATTTTTTTATAGGTACATTTATTTTTTCAACTATTTAAGCATTTTAATAGCTTTAGTGATAAGAACTTCTCTTTTTCAAATTACCTTCACTTTTTTTAAAGTAAACAGATAAAATTATGATTTTTTGAAAAAAATACATCTAAATCGAAACTGAAAGCTGTAGACTGTAGAAATGATGTTTTATATCAAATAATACAAGTATAAATACGTTTACTATTTATTATGAAATATTACCTATAGATTAATATTAATTAGCATTATTTTCAAATCATTGTAACCCCGCCTATTTTATAAATAAATACATTTATATTTATATGAAATTAATAAAATATAGTAATTAAGTATATTAAGAAATTCGAAAACAACAGAATTTGAAAAATCCAATATTTAAATATATCACTCTGTATTTTCCAGGTAATAAGTAATAATTTCAAGAAGGGAAATCTTATATATTATATTATACACAATACCTATTATAATTTAGTGGATATTTTTATTCATTTATTATTATGTACCTATAGTTATTAAAAAAATATAATATACAATTTATACAATATAATAATATATTATGTTATCAATGTTATCATTGTGTTGCTACTATTATGAAGAAACCAGTAAGTACAACTGTACAAGGTTGTACGTATGAATAAAAATAGTAGCTATATTGGTTACAAGGCTTATCAGAATACATAATAATATAGTTATAGGTACTATATTAATATTATGTATATATAGTACTGTAGAACGGGGTGTAGTGGACTTGGTCGTGTGAAATGGAAAATTCTCATTTTTTTGAACGTTTATCAGCATAAATATTTAACATGGTTGGATCAAAATTAATTTAGTAAATTTTACTTTAATAGCAGTATGATAATGAACAATGTTTGATATTCGTGATAACAATTGTTCAGGACGATCCTTATCAATTCTTATCATTTTGTTTGACACAAAATAACGTTTTTTTTTTTTCATTCAAACGTCATCTGAAACTCAAAAGTAAGTAAGACTATGAATATTTTTCATACTCTGAAATGTGTTTATTAAGTTCATTTTAACCATTTAACATACTAATAATAATAAATTTGTTATTATTTTCATCCTTAGAAAGAAGAATATCAATAATTATAAGCAACCTGTTTAGTTAGGTTCCTATAAAGAAGATATATTGAGTTAACTGATTTTTTTTTTTTTATATTTACCAAGGAAGGTGTCTAAAAAGTAAGATTTTTTTAATATTGAAACAAATTGCTCAAATTGATGATTAAACAAAGTTAAACAATTGCTTATGCTCAAAATGTTGTCTAATGTTTTTAAAAAAAAATATAATTTAGTGGTCCACTTCAAAAATAGAATCGATTGAAGTGGTTTTTGATGAAAAACAAACGCCTGGTCCACTTGACCCCACATACCTATGTAAAATGGACCACTTTTTAGCACAAAAAAATGGTTTAAAAAAGTTAGAAAGAAAAAATGTCATTAAATTTAGCATACATAAGTATAGATATACTATAATCCAAGTTTCAATCGTTTTGTTCAAATAGATTCTTCGGAATCTTAAGAAATTTACCAAAAACTGGTCCACTTCACCCCCTTATCCGGTATATTATATGCATTTAAAAGAGTAGTTTTATTTTTTTTGATTAAGATTTTGTTATTTTTTGTTAGTGAAATATTGATAATAATGAATAGATAATCTCAAAAAAGTGAGAATAGTAGACTGTAGCATACAGGTATAAATTAACTCTACTGAGACATAAAAAATTAACAAGATAACAACCGATAGTCAGCGTTAATTGACGTAAGCATTATTATGTATAAAATACGAACACGCATGTGCTAAAGCTAATAATTATAGGTATACAACTGCATTAAATAAAGTTTAAGTGGAAATTATTATGATCTGTAAAAACGGTCAACAATCAATGGATCAAAATCCAATTATTTTGGACCCATATTTTTCTTATTAAGTATAATTTATAAAATATAAAATAAATATATAATATAGAAATATTTAACTCGTTTAAAATATAAGAAATATAATTTAAAAATTATTTCATTAGATTAATTAATAATTACATATAATATATAGGGAATATCAATGGGTGTGTGTGACATTGAATAAAACTCATTACCTATTGATATACAAATTTTTAATCTTAGGGATCTATATAGTAAAAATTAATGATTATTAACATCAATAATATTTACGAAATACCTCTTGACAAAATGAACAATTTTATGACTATCATTAGCATTGATGATAAATACTAGTATATATAATCAATCCTATGAAAATTAGACTGAGAAAGCTAGGAGATCCACTCTGTATATTCCAAGTAGTATAAGTAGTTTGTCAAGAAGAAAATCAAATACGAATATATATATATACATAATACCTACCTATTATAATTCTTATTATTTATAATCATGCTATTAATTATTAGCACATACAATGCGAGTGACAAGGATAATTTTTAATTAATTCATTCGAATTCAAACATAATCTTAGGTGTACTACGACTTAAATAACATTGAAAATCATTTCAAAAATGGTTAAGGTTTGTTAGCCGTAATACATAATAGATTAAAATATTACATATTTTTATATATTCCATGGTAGTGGACAGATTTTATAGCATCTAATAATAAAATGTTTATGATAATGTTATACACCATACAAGCAAATAATTAAGGAGTCTTAGTGGCCGAAAAAAATTTATATCTGTTATCAGCTGTATTTTAGGGAATAAAATCCTACTTATAAAATGTGCCTCATAATAATTTTTTAATAAAAATTGCATAATATTTTTACATTAAGACTATGCATTTGGTTTCGTAAAAATATAAAGTGGCATATTACTCATTTGGTGTAGTAGCCGTGTAAGTATCTATAGGACAAAACAATTATTTGGGTATTTTTGTTGTGGAGAATTTAATTCTGAATGAATGTATTTAGCTTCATATATTTTACAATGGTGTAGTTTATAATCTCTTGCCAAGTACATAAATTATTGAAACAAAATAAGTGTACTTTAATTCGATTTACTAAGCATTTATTTATGATATCACATTTATTAGTGCACTAAAAAGCATGCTTAAAGATTTTTGGTGTGATTATCGCTAAATATCTTTTTTTTTATGCAATAAGTATTTTCTTTATTTTTTATTATTTGTTTTTACACATTAGTCGGCATATTTTAGTATATTTATAATTAAAATATAATATACCAATATATTAACGTAGACAAGGTACGAACGCAGTAATACGACACTATTACACTAAAACTAGTAATAATTATGATTTAACAAATTACATTTAATAAAGTATAATAGCTATTTTTGGAAAGAGTGATGATAGTACAGTGTTTACAAAATTATCGTATTTCACTAGAAATTATCGTATAAAATAAAAACAGTCGATTGTACTGTAAAATAATAAACTATAAACTATATTGTAGTTCTGCCAGTTCTGCAGTGGTTACTTTATATTATATTATACAATATGCATATTAATTGTAAAATAAACAATAATACAAGTCACAAAAATAATAATAATATTTTTTTTACAATATGCCATTATACAATAGGCAATTCGCTAATATAATAAAAATAAAAAAAAAACCTGGTATTGCTCCAAACATGGTATTACAACCATTTTCCGCCAAACCTAAATTAAATTATACATATTATATTTATTTAAAAAAATTATTTATATAAGTGGGTAAACGTGTTATAACTTATTATCTGCGATATATTGTTTTTATTTTTTTGACATCACTTATACAAAAAACGTTGATACTATTTCAAAATTCATTTTTTTTGTGTTTATTAAACTTAAAATAACTTTTTTTGTAGTTCCGATATCGAAAAAATAAAAACAGAATATCACAGACAATGTTCACCATTTAACTAATGAAAATTTATTTTCTTAGTTATGAGTGTAACCTTCTCGGTTCTTTCTCGCGCAAAACAGTTTTTGCTATGTTTTCATTCGTAAGGCGCAGACAACACGGCATATGGGTGTAGCGTCCTCTTAACAATAATTAATAATGTTCTAATTTTTGTTAATTATTTAATTTCATTACTATTTAATTGTGTATTGTCTTTTTGTTCTTTACAAACAATGACCTCCCTTAATTATAGTTCTAGAACCGAGCTTGGTTATAAAATACCTACAGGTTTATTTTATTTGTGTATCATACAAAGAGTGATTGACAAAGGATTCATTATGCAAATTCTGATCTTTATGGAATTTTAAAGTCGCACGAGATTTAGAACTCGAATGATAATTTAATAATGATGTATGACTATATTATAGTGATATACATAATATTACCGTTTACGTCAACCATCGCCTCGAAAGATTTTCGTCCAAAAGAATTGGACGCCACGCACTTATATTGACCACCGTCCGTTCTTTCCACTTTAGATATAATCAATGTATTGTTTTGTAATACCTGCAGTAAGTAGTATACTATGGATTAATATTTACAATATTTAACAGTACAATAATTTGAAATATATTACCTACTCTAAATATTAAAAAGTAAAATAAATGATAAAAGTTAACTAGGTAGGTACTGACAATAGGTTAAATACGTCATAAAAAAAGAATCAGGGAAGTAGCTCTACTGAAAATATATTGCTAAATAATAGCCAATAAGTAACGAGTGTTGTTCATAAAATATTATTCGTAACTTAACTTTCTCTAATTTAATTTCAATTAACTTAATTTTTAACTTGACTTATTTTATTTGATATAAACTTAATAAATATAGAGTTATTTTTAAATCTAATTCAAGTTAAGTTAATTTATAAATAACTAAATTTTAAATATAATAAAAATAAAAATTATTATTGACGATGCATATTATTACATTACCATTTACTAGAATTTCAAAACAATATTAACTCCATTCGTTTGTGTTCATTTGTGCTTTTAACCCCGTCGTTTGTGCTCAACCCCTTCTAAAGTTATCTGACTTTGAAAGTTGGGGGTTAACATTTAATACCAGCTACTATCTTTTGTATTACGAATCTGATCAATACTGTCCACATAATCATTTTTACCTCTATGGTCTTGAGTCGTAAAACATTTGGTTTGTCAGAAAAACCCATACACTTGTATATTAGAATATTATTTTTAATTTTTTAAGTTTGTGGCATTTTTGGAAATAAAAAAAATATTTGCTACCCAATAAATGGATTTACAGCCTTACACTTAAGATATTATTATGATACAGGTGGTACTTTGAATACATTCAATGTATTTTGAAAAATTAAACCGATGTGGATGAGAAAACAGTTTGAACAATTTTTTTTAAAGACACGAAGTTTTAATATTTATGGTTTTGTTTACCTACATATTATTTAAATGAAAAATATAAATTTTAAATATTTTTTTGTAATTTGTTATTCTTAGGAGACTTATAACTTTTTCTTATTATGGTTAAATTATTATTTAAAAAGCGTATTTCAAAATGTTAATAGCTAAAAAATGAAAAAAATTAATAAAACTTAAATTAAATAAATATTATAATTCATCAATTATACCAACTAGATTCAGTTTCCTATCAGAAAAGATACAGTTGAAGGAAATCCAAGCAGGTTTACTGTCCTAAAAGGTGATGACATACACAAAAATAAACACGAATCCGTTCAGAATCTAAAAATTGTTTTTAGTGGTAAGCAAATTTTTTCTAAACTGTTGTAACGAGAAATGTTCGAGCGAGATTTTGGTGGTGGGATTTTGTCCTAGATTCTATATAGGTTCATGAGCAGGAGTATAGTTGCATCAAATAGAAAATATTTGCAAGGGATGCAAAATTATTGGGAAAATTATTCCTAAAAAGTTTGAGTTTACGCAATGAATATAAAGTAATTAATTAATAGAACATTTTTTAACAACAGTGCACGATTATATATTAGATGATTTTTCACCGGGTTTGCCCAAAGGATTAATTACCATATATCTTAAAATAATCTTACCTGAACTCTTTGGCCAAGTTCTAGATCGATGTCGTCTTTGGCCCACGTTATAAAAGGTTCCGGGTCCCCTAGGGCTTTGCACGAGAGTTGTAACTGTTCACCGACCAACACCGTCTTGTTCTCTGGTACCACGATTACATCTGGAGCTGTATGCACAACAATATAATATGTATAATACGTCAAAATCATCACATTATTAAATAAAACAACTCGTTCCCGACAACATCTGTTAAATCATTAAGGCAATACTCACTTATAGCCGGCTGTACAACAATAAGTATAGGTACAGCACTTTTGCTGACAATATACTATGTAGATTATAGCATATAATATTATGTTATATATTTTATGTCTTTTAATAATTATTTTAATTAGAATCATTACTTACTGCAATTTAAATCGTTTTCGGTTATTTCCTTCAACGATTTTGTTTGAGTTTCTACGGGATAAAGAAATAACGGATCGCAACTCCCGAAGAGTTCCAGAGTACCCTCAGGAAAACTTTTCTTCAGACCGTTTACAAACAACAGAGTATTGCAATCGCACTTCAAGGGGTTATGGTCAAGCTGTCTATAGAAGAAAGCATTGATGTTTTTTTTAGACAAATATATAATTCAAATAATGAAAGTATAACAATTACTATATAATACTAATAATATATATATGTAGGCAGTTCATGCTGACTTACAAATAAATCAACGAAGTTAATGAATCAAATATCCCAGGTGGAATATTGCTTATCATATTGTTTCTCAAGTACCTATTTATAAAATATAAAGTGTAATTTTCCCTCGGCTATACAATACGATCACATGAAAAATATGTTTAATACTTACAATGTATTCAGTTTGGTAAGTCCCTTAAACATTTCCAAATCGAGCTTATGAATTTGGTTGTCAGACAAGTATAATACATTCAAACTCGTTAAGTTATTAAAAACCCCAATCTCGATGTTTTCGATTTTATTTTCAGACAAGTATCTAATAATTAAATAATTTATTATATAGATAATATATAGGTTATAATATGATAATTATACGATAAATATTATAATTAATGAATAATGTTTATTTATACATTTAAAAGTGTAGACATTATATTATAACTCACAAGACCTGTAGCTTCGAAAGGTTTGGAAATGCACCATATTTCACTTCAGTTATATCATTGTAGTTTAAGTTTCTGAAAATATTCATACATTCTGGTTTATAATTTAATTAATAATATCTATGCATTTAAAAGTGTTAATACTAGGTATATTATAACTCACAAGGTCACTAACTCTGTCAGATGAGCTAATGATTCGATATCCCTGATTTCATTATGTCTCAATAACCTTTAATAAAATACAATTTGTTTACTGTCGTATATCCACTGGTATTATGAGATATTTTATGATTATAATTAATGAAGAATGTTTATTTATACATTTAAAAGTGTAGACATTATATTATAACTCACAAAGACTGTAATATCTATGCATTTAAAAGTGTTTATACTAGGTAAACTATAACTCACATGGTCACTAACTCTGTAAGATGAGTAAATGATTTCGGTTCAATATCCCTGATTCCATTAAAACTCAAATCCCCGGAATACAATACAATTTGTTTAATTATTATATACAAAATATATGATTATTTAATAATATTATTTACTCACGATCTATGTAAATTATTTTACTTGTTTTTCTACTCTTTTTGTACTTAGGTACTTACAGATATAGATCATTTGTAATTTACCGATATAATTATGCACGTTTTATGGCTCTAGATATCATAAAAAGTTTTAATTTTCCCTTATAATATCATGTTGATTTTGGGACTTAAAAGTTAAAAAAATAAAACGTACGCAGAATTCGGTGTACATGCACTGGGTAGTGTGACTACTATAATTATTGATTATGAAATGTATTATGTTTTAAAAACACACATTTAATTTCGAGTGAAAACAGTGATCGTCTGAATCAAGGGGTCAAATTGATGTCCATCACTTAGTACTACAACCTCAAATCCAAACCTGGGCATAAATGAGTTAAGAAGTTAAAGTTAAGTTAATTTTAACTTTGTAGTTAAACTTTTTCTAATTTAATTTCAATAAACTTAATTTTTGACTTAACTTGTTTAATTGATAGAGACTTTATAAATATAGAGTTACTTTTAATCAAATTCAAGTTAAGTTAATTTATAAATAATTCAATTTTAAATATAATAAAAATAAAAATTATTATTGACGATACACATCACGATTTACTAGAGTTGGAAATTAGAAACACAGTTAAACTTATTAATTGTTCCAATAACAAGAATTTTTCAATAAAAATAACTTAATTAAACATATAGCAATAGCCATGGGGCCATATCATACCATACATTGACCAATTACCTAGATATAGGTATCGGAATTATGCTATTTAGATGTTAGATCATAATAAGTTATGTCATAGTAAGTAAGCGGGATTTATAAGTTTTCTTATTACTTATTTCAAACATTTCCGATATTTTGCGAGTTACTAACAGTTATTTTATAATTTATACCAATACTTTTATATTTTAAACACACCTTAATAAGGTTAATATAGAGTTTATAAACCTATCCTTATTCCTTGTCGTATATCGTGGTATTATGAGATATTTTATGATTTATTTCGCAGTTTCGTCGATTTTAGTATTTGATGGCTTAAATATGTCTTAGAACATGATACTCGTGTAGCTTTTATACGTCTTAAAACTGCAGGATACATGGTCATTAGTTATGAATCTATATAAAGGAGTGGGCATGCGCCAGCGAAACAACCCTCGATATGAGTGATACGATGCAATACGATTTTGAGATCTCGAAAAGGCTTCAAATTATAATATCCATAAGATCATAACACAGTGACGTATTTGAGCAGTATTATGTAGTGGGGGAAACGGGGTAAATTATTTTTTAAATGCAATTAATTTGATTTAGATTAAAATTTATATAGGTAATTTAATTTTTAAAAGACACCAATTATAATATTATAACAATATAGTTCACATTTAAATACAATTTAATAACAAAGCCGGAAAATGCCCACCTTGCATCCACAAAAACGCCACTGGCGTTAACACAATTATTGATAAATTATATTTCACAATACTCGGGCAAAGTAAATTACCAAGTGCATTTTCAAACTCTGCACCCGGCGTTTTAACGTTGGTATTATCTTCCGTATAGTCGACTTACAGCACTTTGGTAGCCGGAGGTATGCGGTAGGGTATCCGGTCCAGTCCCTTTTTATAGCAGGAGACAGTCAGATCTTCATAGCACATGCATTTGTCAGGGCACTCGGCGGTGACCGATAGAAACGACGACGAGGAGAACATCAACAGCAGTAAAAGTATCAGCGCCATAGTCCTCCGTAAAACAGCTTCGGTGGCTGATGCGGCGGCGTCCTGATGCTTCGGCCGAGTCATCGCTCAAACTGGTCGCAAAGCACACTACACAATCGCAGTGGCCGCCGCTGCGTTACTTAATAGAAAATAATACACAATACTGAACGGGTCCGGCGCGAGCGCGATCTGTGTTGTTAGAGTGTTTTTTTTTTTCTTAATTTAAATAGGTAACGATTACGAATAATATGCACGTTTTCCTGTTTGGATAACCTATGACATATAAACAATAAAGTAATCAATAATAAAAACACCTAATTTAAATGTATAATAAAAAGGGATACAGTAAAAGTGAGGAAGGTTATTAAAAATTGGCTTAACCACCAAATCTATGCGACTTAATTATTATAATATATCAATACATAATTCATATTTTTTAATTAAATATTCATTTATTTATACGTTTATTTATTTTTTAAATTATTGAAGGATTGTCGTGTTGTGCTACGAAATTCTTTTTTTTTCTAATGAGCTTAGCCGTTTTTTTAAGTAAACAGATGAATCGTCGTTCACTTAAGTACCCAAATTTTACCTATTCTTCCTGTGGTAGATCGCGGACCCTGCGCTGTTGGTACGTAACTTTATAATTTAACTCAAAAGTATCAATGTTATACCAAGCATGTCACTGAACTCCTCCTAAACGGCTGCACTAATTGGGAATGCCGAGTCTGTGGACCAATATTTATTTTCTTCCTCATCCACGAAGACATGGCATTGTTTTATGTACGTAACTTATACGCGAGTATAGTACGCTCAATATTCACGTAATTGCGATACATATAATATCAAAACACAGAGTACAAAAAAAATTAAATGCATTAATTGAATACACTGATATCACGGCAACTTGCAATAATAATTATTATTATAATAGCTTTAAGGGCATTTGATCGTTTTTAAGGACCCGAGTATAGGAATTTTAAGGCCGTTACAGTAGTGTGTGCGTGCGTGACGTGTATTTGTGTTTATAGTAAACGATCATTAGTGTTAGTGAGCCCCGGCCGCCCACATGACTACTAAAGTCCGCAACACTGTGATATTTCTTATCTACTATTATAGAGGTGATTATTATACTACCTGTATAAAAATATAATTAAAATATAAACATTATACATAGTACATAGTACCTACATCAATTATTATAGATACTAGATAGTATATCATTCGCTGCCTGACGTTATTTTACATTTTTATTTTTTACCCAACGAATATTGATCGCAGGCATTTTATTAATTACATATAAAGATAGGTAAAATAAGTGTATAACTATTGTGACTTGTAAGTTATTGACAGTACAATAATAACAAGCGTTTATTTCAAATAATAAAGTAGTTTTTATGATTATTTTATTCGCTTTTTAGACTCAATTTTTTTCGTTTATATTTTTATGTAATTACCTATTACCTACCAGTATACTACCTAAATTGTATTTGTCTGAGAGTCAAAGAAAATACTCATCACTGCAAATACTTTTTTTATTTTAGGTACTCAATTTATTGCACTTATTATATGTTATTATCCTCGGTGAAGTCGCGAATCAATTATTTCTGGAAGTAAACATTCCATGTAAAACTTCTTCAAATTTGGTTCTATATACATCCAAAAATTGTCATCCCTTTCAATTTTTTCTACTATAAGTCCTATTAAATGGTATAGGTATTATTATTATAATTTTATATAAAAAATGGCTAATTGTATACAATTTCTTTTAATTTATAAATTTAATCTTCATTTCTAATAATTTTTAGCTTTAGGTGTCCAAATATAAAAATAACATAACTTCCTATTAGTTATATGTAGTTGTCCCTGAATTTGATAGAAGTATGCATGTGATGTTTTCAGCTGTAAATTTCCATCATTGTACGTCATACATTTTAATTTTTTTTCATGAAAGGCTTCTTCCGGCGTATAATCTTTTATGAATGGTGTTTAATTTTAACAATAGAATCATAACTTACCAAACCATCTGGACTAGCAGCCAAAAAAGGCAAATTATTATCAACAAAAAGCCCACGGGGTAATATTGCTGTCACAAGCTTTGACTCCAAATTATTTTTTGCCAAAGGTTCATTCTGAATTCCATATCTAAAAACATTATTATTATGACTGAGAAAGTGATAAAACTAACCCATAGGTATGATAAATATTTTATACATACTATAAAGAGTAAAGAAAAAAAGGTGGGCAAGTGGGTGTCGCTCTGCTGTACAGTAGGTTACAAGTGGGTCACTGTATAATGGATGATATTAAATTTGAATTCAACGATATAATATCATTGTATAAGAAAAACGATTATGAGCGAAGACGGTATGTCAGGCTAGGTATACCTAAGATATATTATATACATATCTATGGTATTAAACAAAAAATTGACCTATAATAGGTACCTATTATAAATTCTAAATTAATCATATCACCATATCCATTAGGTACTTATAACGAGTTATACATCAAAAACACACCGTGATACTATCATAGATAATATATAATAGTGTACTTTAGAAGTTTCAAGTACTCACGAATAATATTATTAATACTCACAACAAAATAATTTAAATAGTTATTTTAGGTTTTTTATTCGTCCAAATTTGAACTTAAAATTACTATAAAAATAAACTGTCTTTCTGTATGTTTTAGATTTTTTGGTAACAGAATAAACTACTTACGTAGAATCTTGTTTTACAATTTCAATCCTTAGTTATAAAAATTAAACATTTTATACATTATTAACTACAAAATAATTATTAAATTTTAAATTTGATAAATATTATGTCGAAATTCGAACCTATAATAAATTCCAAATTAATCATATCACAATATCCATTAGGTACTTATAACGAGTTATACATCAACAACAAACCGTGATACTATCATAGATATAATATAATAGTACACTTTAGAAGTTTCAAGTACCCACGAATAATATTATACAATCACTGAATCACAACAAAATAACTAAAATTATTAGTTATTCTAGGTTTTTTAATATGTAATATTGTCCAAGCATGAATTTAAAATGTCTGTAAAAAATAACTATGCTCATATATTTTTTAGATTTTTTGGCTACAGTATGAACTATTTATGAGAATTTTGAGAATGTTTAAATTAGCATTTTCTATGCACCATACAATTTTGAAAATATTTTGACTCTTTTTGAGCTGTTTATGGACATTTACAGCTTTCAATTTTTTTTAGTTTTTTTTTCTACAAATATCAATAAAGTTTTATCCGTTGGGCCAAAAAGTGTAAAAATTTAATACAAGGCTCCTGATATATTGTTACAATAGCAGTTGAAAAATATTAAAAATACATAGGCACAGTTTTTTTTTATAAGCATTTAAAGATCAAATTTTGACAAAATTTATCAAAATCTCAAAAATTATCAATCATTGTAATTAATAAATTATAAAATGTTCAGTTTTTATAGCTAAGGATTACAAATTCAACACAAAGGTTCTCATAAATAGTTCATACTATAACCAAAAAATCTAAAAAATATATGAACACAGTTATTTTTTACAGACATTTTAAATTCAAATTTGGACGAAATTACATATTAAAAAACCTAGAATAACTATTTTAGTTATTTTGTTGTGATTGAATAATATTATTCGTGGGTACTTGAAACTTCTAAAGTGTACTATTACATATCTACATATCCATATGATAGTATCACGGTTTTTGTTGATGTATAATGCGTTATAAGTACCTAATGGATATTGTGATATGATTAATTTGGAATTCATTATAGGTCAATTTTTTTAATACCATAGATAAGTATATAATATGTCTTATACATACACTGACATACCGTCACCGCTCAGAATCGTTTTTCTTATACAATGATATTATATCATTGAATTCAAATTTAATACCATCCATTATACAGTGACCCACTTGTAACCTACTGTACAGCAGAGCGACACCCACTTGCCCACCTTTTTTAATATATTTTTAATATTTTTCATCTGATTTTGAAACAATATACTAGGAGCCTTCTATTAAATTTTCAAATTTTTTTAACCAACAAATAAAATTTTATTGATATTTCTAGAAAAAAAACTAAATAAAAATGAAAAATGAAAATGTCCCTAAACAGTTCAAAATAAATCAAGATATTTTGAAAATTTTATCGTGTATAGAAAATGCAAATATAAACAACCAGTGAAAATGTCATGTATCTACGGTCATTTGTTTTAAAGTTACACCAAAAACCAAATTCAATTTTCTGAAAAATCGATTTTGCGTAAAAATTCCCGTTTTTCCTTAATTTTTCTTTTGTTATTCCCGGCGCTTTTGAAAACTACTGGGAAATTTAAATTTTGACCTCGCCAATGCACCAACGATATTCACTTTCCAATCGAACAAAATACTGAAGTCGAAAATCGAAGCATTATTTCGACTACTTATCGTGTACACAAAAAAAATAAAAAAAATATATAAAAACACACATCATTGTAAATTCAATACATTCATCGTTCCACTCAGAATCTAAAATGGGTGAGATAGTGTAATGCATAATTTACCTACTTCGTTGCAGCGTTACCACAAAATAAGTCGTATATAATAAATTTGACTGTATTTTCGCTAGAAGTGGTTGATCTCAATCTGGCAACATTTCCAAAGTTTGAAGCTGTGAGTCTCATTTTTCTTTGCTTTCGCCATTCATCGCTTTGTGATTGATTAATAGTACTTCTTTCCAATAATTTTATTTCTTCATTTGTGAGTTTTAATTTTTTTAGAAACTCGGTGTTTTTTAATTCCATACTCTTCAATTGGCATATCAACTATTCCAGAAGGCTGTTCTACTGCTCTATAATCTTCGTCAGGTCCATGTGGAAATATATTCTTTTTAACTTTATATCTTGAAAAATATATTAAACAATTAATATAAAAATTTATAAGAATTACAATAGACAATATTAATTATAATTATAGTTATATAAACACAAAATTGAATAGATATGCACCCAGGTTGATTTAATTTTCTTCGTTTAATATCATTTTTCTTTTTTTGTATCCTC